TGTCCACCACGGCCCGCCGTGGCCATCCCAGCCGCTGCCGGCGCCGGAGGCCGGAAACCCGTAGAAACCGGGGTCGATGGTCGAGGACCGGTGCCCCCTCCACCACGGCCCGAAGCCATACCACCCGCAGCGACCCCTCGGCCAGCAGACAGGTTCGGAGTAGGACGCATCCCACGGCCAGCCCGAACCCTGGAAGCAGGCGGCGGCACATAGCCACGGCCAGTGCTGGCACCCTGCGGCGGCGCGGTCTGGATGCGGACAGTCCCAGCCTTTTGTCCCGACGGCACAGCTCCCCTGCGGCCCGTCATCGCCCCCAGCAACGGAATGCGCCACGCTCTTCCACTCCCTGTCGTACGCAGGTTTGGACTACGGCGTCGCTGAACCCAAGCGGTCGAGGATGAGGGACGGGGCGACGATGGAACAGACGACGCCCCGTCGCCCATAGCCTTGGTCAAGTCCGGCTCCACCTAGGCCACATACCCAGGTGAATCCAGCCCGACCAGCCCACCCGCGAGGCCCCGATCGGCACCCAGCACAGGCCGCCTCAAGCTTCTGCCGCGCCCAAGGGGCAGTGGGGTGATGATGGTTTCAATGCGTATGGCGCTAGTAAGCACCGTGTGTCCTCGTCCGCGGGCGGTGGTCGGAGCTACGCTTGGCAGACCGATGGCACGGCAGAGCGACTGTTCTTGGGGCCCCCCAGGAGGCTTTGTTGAGGGGGCATCTGGCCCGGGTTACCGACAGCGGGGTGGATTTCGTGGGCATCGAGGTGGCCGTGGGGGGCGAGGTGGCCGATACCGTCCACGGCAGCCACCGCCGCCTGCTGTTGACCAGATGGTGGTTGACGAGACTATTGAGGAGCAGGTTCTGTCTGGGCACGCTATGGAGGTGGTCTCGGCGCTTGCCTCTGCTGAGATTCCCGGAAAGGAGTCTGGGTTGACAGCGATAGTTGAGGCGTGTGACAAGACTTAGTCTGAGAGGGCGTCCAAGTGGGCGCGTAAGAAAGAAAATATGTTGTGCTATAGATGTGGTGGCAAGGGACATTTTATTGCTGAGTGTGTGGCTGAGCTATGTGGCACTTGTGGTAAACCGGCACACGAGTTGGGGGACTGTCCGTTTTTAAGAGATCAGGCACCATCACTCATGATGTATGGAGTATACTGTGCTGAGCTTACTTTTTTTGAGTCTCCAACTAAGATGGAGGCTCCTGACGAGACTTTGAGTTTGACGACTGGGTTAGTCAAAATTGTCAGAGGAGAGGTCTTGGAGACACAGATTGTTCAGAGGCTCAAAGAGTTAGCTCCTGGGGATTTCTAGTGGGAGCTGGTTACTATCGAGGACAAACTGTTTCGGGTTGAGTTCCCGTCCGTTGACGATCTTCAGAGGCTTCTGAGCTTCGGGATGTGCAAGGTGCTGAGTACTGATGGTGTGCTTGAGTTTCACGAGTGGAAGAGGATTGAGCCTACGGGCAAGCCTCTAACTAAGGTGTGGTTGTGGTTCTCTGGGGCTCCCTCCAAGCCGATGCAGGATGCCCTGGTCGTGGCCAGTTTGGGTATCATGGTGGGCAGACCAGAGCGAGTGGATATGGACTTCACTAGAGCCCACGGGATTGCCCGTCTTCTGGTTAGTGTGCTGGACATCGAGTTTGTGCCTGAGGTGGTAAAGTGGGCTTATCGAGGCCACATCTATAACCTAGTCATTGAGTT